AGGGGACAGGGAGGGGGAGGGAGGGGGAGAGAGGGATATTAAAGAAAAAATTGAGTGATTCAAAACTAAGTGTATTTATAAATGACGCAAGAATTATTCTGGTAGGATTGCAAGCGAGATGTTTGTAGGTGATACCGAAACAAGCCGTGCGGCGTCGCCACTGGAGCGGGCGCTCAACAAACGTACACAGTTACCTATTTGGCGGCAGAGTTGGTCAATTTGCTGACGACACGCGTCAGTGCACGGTTCTCTGCCCTCAGCCTTTCGTTCTCGGCTTTTAGTTTTTGCAATTGCTATAAAACATCAACATTGATTATTGTTATCTGCGGCTGATGTGCGGCGCCATCTTGACGAACGCCAATTTTTGCAACTCTAACCTACATATATATATATTTATAATGTGTGGTGTAGGAACAGTGTTCGATATCGTTCGAAAACAGTTATTTTGTGATTCGTTACCTTCAGCTCTTCTTCCATTTCCGATAGTTTTCTTTCCATCGCTCTCTTTTCCCGTTTCTCGATTTCAGATAATGAATTCTGATTCTGAGAACAAAACAAAATTTCATATTATCAAATCACATTAATACTGTGAATCGTGAACCCGTAGTTTCAAAATAATATGACCTTCGCTTCGAAATAACAGCATTAATTAGACACATTTCAGAAAGTGAATCAGTACTTTGTAATATGCCTTATGTAAATATATACCTACAAAATATACTAATTGCATCAGCTTCGTTAATGAACGCCGAATATATCTTGCAAGTCATTTTAATAATCATTTTAATAAATAATTCGACAGCTATTGTTACGGTCATTGCATACTCGTGCAATTTACGATTGGGCAATTAATTACATTCTGCATAGCATTAAAGAATTTAATTATTTTTTTAATATATTGCACAATTTGTTTACAATTTGACGTGTCGAAATGAAACATCACGATAAATTCAATGAAATTTTTACGAGTATTGAAAATCAAATTTTATTTAATGATTAATCACATTTATGACACGTAAATACTGCAGCATATAATGCATTGAGTCAGATATCGGATATTAAAAAAAAATGACCTTGAATGGTCTTCAGTAATTGGAATATATTATATCCAAATTAATTGCTCATATAAGTAGTGATTCACGTCTAAAACGATATCTCCTCTTTCGTTAAATGATAGACAGCTGCGGGTGCGTATTCGCAATGCGCATCATGCATCCATGCTGTGTCTATGTATCGCCGGGGCAAAACATCTAAAATTGACAATGTACCTACGCAAATGCAAAAAGCGCGGCTGCCAAGTTGTCATCTACCTTAAGCCGATAATTACTTACGAAAATCACGCCGCACTACATAAACAAACACAAACCACACTAGGTATTTATTATATTTGGGTCCGTGTTCCAATCTTCTTCTTTTGTCTAAAGCTGATCACAACATCGTAATGATAACACACAAATCTACGACCAATACTAACACAATAAACAAAAGCACGTTCGCAAGTTGCAGCAGTAGGTTTTGAAAGGGTGGTTTGTGCACTACGCATTTATCGTAAGATACAGACTACAAAATAAAAGAATTGAAAAGTAAATTCTATTTGAAACAAAACAGGGATTCTAAAGCGCTGCGAATTTCTTTCGTACGTTCCAATTCTAGTTTTTAGTGAACGGTTCATGTGAAATTTACTTAAGGAAATCTAATTGATTTATCGTAAATCATACTCTTAGTATGACTGCCCTCTAGACAGTTGCGGATATGCATGAAATGGTTTTACAAAGAAACTTTGATCGGAATATTTAAATACATTCTTAGGCATTTTAGCAAGATTTTAAATCTCAAAAATATTTAGTCAGGATTTAAAATTTTAAACTAAATTATGAACTTACAATTCGAAACAAAAATTTGTAATTAGCCGTTCGGAAATTGCAATTCTTTTGAACCCTCCAGTTTCCTACGGGATTGTATGTAATCATTATTGAACGCAAATCACAGAGCAGGCGAATGAAACAATCATGCACACCGACATCAAAGTACATGTCATACCACTTGCGTGAGCCTTGCGATGGTGGCGCGGGCCTCGCGTAGCTGTTGCTCTGAAGTCGTGAGCAGTGACCGTAGACGCCGCACCTCGCTGGCAGACGCTTCATAAAGTGCTTTGTAGTCTCGCTCTTCGCCTTCCTCGGTACGTTCGCTTCCAGACTAAAACAATAGATAAAAAAAATCGTTGAGTATGGTACGGTGGTAGGACCTCTTGTGAGTCCGCGCGGGTAGGTACCACCACCCCGCCTATTTCTGCCGTGAAGCAGTAATGCGTTTCGGTCTGAAGGGTAGGGCAGCCATTGTAACTATACTGAGATCTTAGAACTTATATCTCAAGGTGGGTGACGTGGAAGACGTCTATGGGCTCCAGTAACCACTTAACACCAGGTGAGCTGTGAGCTCATCCACCTATCTAAGCAATAAAAATAATAATGTGTATATCATTTTGAAGTCGTTCAATTTGTTCGACATTTACACACATGGATATGGTTATAACTTGAATGCCGTCTCACTTCTGAGACATACATGTGTGGCTCGAGGTCTGAATGGCGACACTTTACTTCTACGAAACCACGTATGGTAAGATACGCGAGTTTGACTGTCAGAACAATTTTCTCTTTGCATGAATAGCCTTTATCGAGTCGGATGTAGGACAAGATATTTCAGACGCTCCACAACCCTTAACGTCTTTCAGGCCCATTGAATGTTTGATTAGAGACCAGTGAAGGATGTTAGAAGACAACATGGTGGTCGTCGACGACCGCTGATTGAGTTAACGAAACTTGCGTTAACCTCTCTTGTCCTGTCACAATTCCACCTCAGCAGCAAAGCAGAAGCGGGGACCAAAAACCAAGAGTGGGGTTTTTAAATGGGCTTCAACTTCGTCAATTCAATCTCACGGCAAAAAAATCGTAAGTTAAACTCTTCTATTAATCCGAAAATCCATGTATATCATATCACACGAAATATTCATCATATATCGGTAACTAATCCCGTTAGAAAATAATTAACTTGACATTAATAAGTCATTGATATGACCTAAATGTTTCTAGAGACAGACGCTAATCTAATATGAAACAGTAATTCGAATACCCTGCCGTCTCGCACGGTATTAGCCTTGAACGTATGTGTAGTTAAATGAATTAGTTAGTTAATAAAAGTTGCTAGAAATTCTGATCCGAATATCAATAGCGGTTGTGTGAAATAATTTTATTTACTTTTAATTTCTCCTATATTATGGACACTAGAAATACGTACGAGATAGAAATAACGACACCCGAATGCCGAGTATCAAATATACTTTGCAGAGATACTGGTTCTGACCGAGCATCCAAACGAGACACCGTTGTACAATAGTGAGTCACTCGAGAAACGAGCCGATTTCTGTGAATATACTGTAAATTCCGTAGACAGGTATATAAATCAATAGATACAGTTATAGCCGATCCTTACATAGACATTACCAGATATTAGATTCCAACATAAATACAAGCCACTCCAAACTCCATCGATAATTAGAAGACCATCTTCAGTAGTGGGACAACTGAGCCTCGGGATGAGCGCTTTGTTAGCCTAGCCTGGAGCCCGAGTAGAAAATGATATATGATAGCCATATTATGATAATACGATCAAATACATAACCTCATCACGACTACTTTCATTCTCAGGTAGCATATAGCCACGACCACAATCAGCCCTAACACCGAATGTAGCGCATGAGATAGGAATTAGCAGGGTAAAATAAACACTGAAAACAAACAGAGAGTTTGAATTTATTTCCCGAGTATATTAAATGTAACCGGCATTTAGACAGCTGATGAGCTGGGCAGCTGAAGTCAACAAAGAGGCCTTCGAGAGAACAGACAAACATTACTGACTAGAGGCTACAATTTTGACTACGTGGCATAAGGTTAGTGTGCATCGTAAGTCGACGTCCCCCAAAACACGTCATTTCGGATCACAGACACAGCTCACGGATCTTCTCAGTTTCACGTATTTGGTTCCTTCTGCGGCAGGGGAAATTGCGGTGCAGGTGGGACTGTTAAGATGCTAGAGGCCACTTATAAACGACTCCCCTGGAATTTCGCCTGAATGTCCGGTCCCCGCCCGAAACAGAGCCCGGGAGAAGTAAGATATTACCACAGTCAATACTACGGCCATACCCGCGACTCACACCAAGTATCTCAAAAGATGAAGTCGTCGGAGACGAATTGATGTCTTCGCCGGCCTCATAGTACGGCAGAGGCCCCACGGTGCTGCTGGTGTTATAGAATACTCCAATGAACCAGAGCCGCGAAACACAGCCAATAAGTCGGACTTCATAACTAGTATAGCGCGCTAGTGCTAGTAGCCTCCCGGTCGCTCCATGGTCTTAATTACCGGGAGAGGCCGCCTCCTTCAGAGTCTGGGACTATGCAAAATCCCTCCTCCTTCTTCGGAAAACATCGTAACATCGTCGCTCCCAACGGAGACACGGAGGACGTATCGATCGAAACAAAATATTGCAGTTGCTTGTTCAACGTTTGTTGCAATTCTGAATTGCTTCCATTAAATTATTTTACAACTCAAACCGGTAGCTCGAGTCTTATTGATTTATTTTTTTAATGGATAATAGAATTTTATGATTGCATAGTAAGTGTCCAATCATTACTGGTCCTAAGCCACGAGTGCCTTTACAAATGTGCCGCGATCGAAAAATCATGATCTCTAGTTAAAAAAACGAAATAATTCAAATTCTTTACATCATTTTATTCATGATGTTGTTTCTTAATGTCCCGACTAGTAATAGAATGATACTTTGTCTTTTGTCATAATTATATGTATCGATGCTATACAAATATCGATATGCGTGTTATTAATACGATAATCATTGTAATAAAATAAACCAACACTGGTGTATGAATTTATAAATTTTAACTGTTTAACCAGCTAAGGACAGACCACATAAATATTCACCCGCCTTCGCAAAACATGATGGATTGGAGATTTAAAAACTCATGTATACACGTGTTTCGTGGAAAAGTGTATATTTCGCTATATTGTAATTTGTTTAGGAGATTTGCGAGTTCTTTGATGTGTGTCTAGAAAAAAAACCTTTTTTATTTGTACTTCTGGAAAAAACCATTTTCTCTTTTGCTACAAAAGAAATGGAGTTCATTGTGTTTGATATACATATATGTTAATTATTTTATTTTTAAGTTCGTTACACCCTTATACGCCTACACAGTTTCAGTTACATTGTTCTCAAAATACTTTTAAGGTTTATTTGCGTTATTTGCTTCTTCGTTTTATAGTTTTCGAAGTTTTCAACGGTTAACGGTTGTCGTGGTCGTAAGAAGAGTGCTGCACATGTCGGCGCGAGGGCGGTATCGAGTTACAATGAAACTCTTTGATATAAAACTCTTGGAAATAGAACTTTACCATGATGTTGCCGCTTCACAATACCGACCATTTGAAACGTATTTTTTTTTTATGTCTGACAATAAATTCTAAGCTCAAATGACATTTATGTTAAAAATATGGGATTCTATTTTCTAATTAAATCGTTTTTTATTGATTAGTGTTTCGTTTTCGACGCGATAAAAAATACGACTAATTATGCCATACAAGTTCTGTTGCGGTAGCAGTACTACACAAGCGGTTTACAAAATTAATAACATGAGCGCTATAAACGAACGCACGACACATTATTGGTTTGAAGGCTTCCGACATGGAAATTTTGATTTAAATATGAATCCCGTGGTCACGCGAAAACTAAAGTCAACAATGACGAAACAATGGTAATAGTGACAACTGACGATAGTCAATCTATCGCTGAACTAACTCAGCTACTAATAGCAGCTTTTAACATCAAGCTAGCATCAAAACCATATTGTTTCATCTGCATTGTCACTTGATTATGAGAAATGGATTCATTTCGATAGTCGTAAACGTAACGAGGGTCTGGTTCAGCACCTAGGAAATGCCTCAAACGAAAACTTAACCCTAAAATGTCATGGTCACTGTTTGGTGGTCTAGTGCCGTTATATTTCATCACAGCTTCTTACCGAATAGCACCAACATTACTGTGGGTGTGTAATGTGAGGAATTGGACACAATTATGGAGAAGCTCGCTCGCTCGAAAAAAGTTAATATAAAATTTGTTATTTTTATAACGGCTTATTTCTTTTTTGATAATTCAATCGATGAAAAATCGATTATTTCTTCTCTTTACAACCCAAATAAATAAAGCTATGTTCAATGTCGGTTAAATCATCATAGACATTTAACGTTGCTGACGGCACACGCTCGATAAATTCACGAGTCACTAATAAAATAGGTTTATGGAACTTTTCTTGATGAATTAGTTCACTTCACATAGAACGTTCCGACCATTTTCATCTTTCTACAAGATGATTTCACCTAGTTTACGAAATAAATTCAACGCGCTCGCGTGTAAACAAATCGTATAAATGTAATCGCGGCTGGGTAAAATATTTGAGAATCCATGGCGTGGGGCCAGTTAGATACTTGGATTTCGGGGATAATTTACTTGCGTTCTTTATAATATTATTTCGTAATCATAGATAAAATATTGTAGTCCTAGTTAGTTAATTTCTAAAAGTACATACGCAATATCCATCTGAAGCTAATGAGTTGAGACTCAATGACCGAGATCCGACGCCTCCGACAGTCTCTAGAGAGCCAAGGGATCGAGACTTCTCCTTGTCGAGTGCGGTGGCAGGCTTGTTGGCGCGGGGTTTCCGTTCAGGTCGTACCGGTGGTATCTCCGGAACGGGCTCTCCAGGCGCTGATTCTGTCACTTTAGCTGGCGGAACTGGTTTTGGCTTGAAATTCTTTTGGCTGGCCAATAACTTTTTGTCCAATTTTTTTAACACCGGAGTCATTAAGTTCAGAGATCCTAAAGTCGCGCCACTCAAATACACACCGCCGTAACCCGAACTTGTCCCTCCATAAATGCTGAGATTAGAAGCCGGACGACCCAACCCCACACTGTAAGGGTTGTAGTTTCTGTACGTACTCGGAGTATAATTCGAATAATTATTCGCGTATGGGCTGTATTGACCACTTAGGACTGAGCCAAGCATACTAGGCGAAGAGCCATAATGAGAGGTCAGGCTGCGTGGCCGCGATGTGTATCTATCCTGTTTTCGACTCAT